ATACAGGTCAGGTCTTATCATATTTACAGACTTTTCAAGAATGCTTCTTTGAAGTATCTGAGCATCTGCATATTGACCTTGAGCTAGATGTATAATGGCTAGAGATGACTGTAATATTATGATCTCTGCATCATCTGCACCAAAAAGTTCACTTCTTTGCTTTAATGTCCTTTCCTCCAATATCTGAGCCTCAGCATATCTTCCTAGTTCATATAATCCTGTAGCCAGAGTATGCTGAGCTGCTAGAGTTGCAGAATGATCAGGCCCTTGTAGCTCTATATGAAGAGCCAGAACTTTTTTCTCCAAATTGACAGCATCAATAGACTTGCCTACACAATGGTATGTGCTGGCTAAGGAGGCTTGTATATCAATTGTTGAGGGATGGTCTAGGCCTTGATTTACTTCATATGTGTATAAGACTGCTTCTCTCATTTGCTGAGCATGATAATACAGTCCTGCATTCATAAATGCATCTCCAAGATGTACTTGAAACACTGAAACTGTTTGAACTCCAAGTTGAATCAGCTCCTTTGCATGATTTGCCAGTACTAGTTGGTTTTCAATATTATCACTAGTACAAGCAGCCATTCCTAGGATATTTAATACCAATTTCTGTTGGCTTGATATATCGGTCAGAGTTTCTCTTATCCATTCATGAACCAGAGGATGTATGGAATAATTGGTCCCCTGCATAGAAATCAAAGAGTATCTTTGTATCATTTTCATGACCTCTTCAAAACAATATGGATCCCATGTCCCATTCTTATCTTTGAAATAACAAAGAAAGTTCCAGGCAGGTTGTAAGGTGTTTGACAGGTCTTCCAAGATGGGGGGATCTGTTAGCCTAGGTTTATATTTCACAGCCATCTCAAAAATGCCTGCAGTAATGCCTTGATGGTGCAGGAGACAGCACACTTGTAACAGCTGCTGTGCTTGGACTGGCAGACTGTCAAAGCTAACTTTCCATGTAGTATAAACTGTAGCTTGATCATCCCATGAAGTTTGCTTGAGTCTCCTTTTCCAATGCTCTGATTTGTTGTTCTGATAAAGATCTAAATAGTCTAAAGGCTTGTTCCGAAGAATATGAGACTGTTGAATGAATGCTGCTGCATGAGCAATTGCTAAAGGAAAATAGCCCAGTTTCTGATATATACTTTTAAATCTGATTTTACAAAAAATATTATATTACTTACTTTTGCAATCTTTTCTGCAGCTGCTCTGTCATATATTTGTGCAATATTCATGAAGGCTTGAATCCCATCCTCTGCACTGAATTCATTAATCGGAATTGATACTTGTGCATGTATACCCAGTTCTGGATTACGGGAAGTAACAAGAATATTCCCATGGTTACACTTGGGCAAATGATCCCTTAGATTGATTTCCACATTATCTGCATTGTCAAACAGAATGAGCCATTCATCTGTGTTCCCAATAAGCCAGAACTGTGCAGCAGTTCTTGAAACTTCAAGGTGTTGTATCCGAGCAATGTCCAGAAAGCCTGTTTGTATTGTGTTCTCATCTGTAGCATCAATTCGAAATTGGTATTTAAATCTTTTCATAATACTTCAATTCAACACCAAGTCTTAGTACATTTATCATCAACTCACCTGTTATTTTGTGTGGAAAGAAATTTCAGGGCTATCTCTGTCTTTCCGGAGCCTCCCAAGCCATGCAGCAAAGCCACACGACGATGTTGCCTACTACTCTCCCCGAAGAATTCTGTCAATCTGGATAATATGATTTCACGCCCTGTGAAAAATTGGCATGGTGGAGGGCATCCATAATAATTGGATCGGCTTGTCCCCTCACTGGTACTGGCACCAAGTGTGCTAAAAAAAACAGTATTTTAGCTGCTTCCAAAATCATAACGTTTCCCACCTTTGAATTGCAACAGAATGTGTTGTGATTGTGATTGGCATCATCGGACCTTGCCCAAGGCCACCATTTCCTCCCGTCACTCCTCCAAGGCCACCTTCTCCCCCTCTACCTCCTAGAATATAGAGTTTGCTTTGAGTCCACTGAGACTAGACAAGATGCAATAACATACCATGCATATGGACAGTCGTATTGTGAAGTCTTGGACTAGCTCTAGATCTTGGGATAGCATTTGCGTATGTTGACTGGGGGCTCGGGCCGGAGTTCATCTTTTCTTACTTTTGTGGAGGGAATTTGAAGAGAAGGCGGCACCTAGCCTGAGGCCAATGAAGACCTGGTATTTAACTGGAACATGAGGCAATGCTTCGATACATGTGCATCACTCGTGGGCCGTGGCAGCACCAGCCTGAGAGCGCTCATGGATTTTCGGTGTTCACATCTGCGAACATCAAGTTTTTTTGCTGCCCCGGTTCTTTATAGCGTGAGTGGTTGCGAATCCGATAAGCTCTAAATGAAGTCCGGCTGGCCAGCGCTTGCTCGAAGCCTCAAACACTTGGACTCGAATGACCATGACCGTGTACACTGGCAGTCGAGCGCTCGAGGCTTCACGATAACTTGAACGTGCATCCAAGTCCGTACTCGTAGAGATGCCACGGGGCTGCAGGTAGACACTAAACGAGGTAGAGATAGGTTGATTGGTTACCGCCGTGCTAACACCGGTTGGCTGAGGCCACGTGTGCCAGTGCGTGGCATGCATGATGCATCTGTCCCTTCTTCTCTCACCATTTCTACCGCCCACCCACCCACGACACTTCATGCTCCCTAATGAACTTTTCCACGAAACACTTCAACATCTTCCTCCGAGACACCTGAAGTCGGTCGCTCTGGCTTCGCGCCGACTTCGTATGCTTGTCCGACCTTTCCTCTACCGCGAAGCTCATGTCTTCGTATATTCGATGGCTCCTGGTGCAAGTCGTCGCTTCTTGGACGGGTCTGACCAATACAACGAAACCATGGAAAGACTGGTTTTCTTCACGTCGCATGGGGTTGCGCGGCATGTTCGCGTGCTGCATGTGTATGCGCGTAATGACCGGAACTACATCTCACATGGCGATGAAGGCACACACTTGCCGCGAGACTTGCTCTTCTCCGCCCTCCACAAGTTCGTCCGCCTGCAGAGCCTAACTGCCCAGGCAGTCATATTCAGCCGCTCCACACTGATGAACCTTGCTACTATTCCCCGCCCATTCTCGCTGGAGCTCGATACGTGCTGTTTCCAAGTTGGCCCAGGCGACAACCCCATTGCACTCGCCAACACTGTCCGCGTATCCTCCTTGAAACTAGAGTATATCAAGGCCCCGTGGAGTTGGCTGAGTGTCTGCAAGCCGGAGGCACTTCGGACAATCGACTGGAATATCTGTGAAGCAGTGGATGGGGAGGACTCCGAGTCTGAGAAGATAGTCCTTCCGCGGGTGACGGCAATCGACATGCAGTTTCACTCGCTTGAAGACCTAAGCGAGTCCAATTGGCAGCTTATGAAGCGCTGCTTTCCAGCGCTGCAGAGGCTCCATCTCACGTCTGCGTGGAAATTCGATCCCAAGGAGGAAGTCCTCCGAGCTGTACCACCGCTGTGTACTCCTCTGCAACATTTTGGTGCTTTGCGCGAGCTGCGTACACCGTGTGCGATGCTGCCTGTTCTTCTCCCAGGATCTTCAATAAAAAGTCTGCACATTACGGAGAGCAACGCCTCCGATCTCCTGGCAGTGTTGCAACGCGTCGAGAAACACATCCCGTCTACGATTACCACACTCACGTTCAACGGCGTCCGCCAAGGGAAACTGGACATGTGGCCGGCGCTTCTGCTACCCTTCTCATCCCTTGAAGTTTTAAATTGCTCTGGATGCTTCCAGCCTGAGGAGGCGGAAGAGCCAGCAGTCCTGACCGCACAGGTAACAGTTCTCTGTATCTCTACATTTTGCCTCTCTCTCACATTTCCTCCAGATATCTGACTTCATTAGTGGACTTCCGTCGCTCCTTCCGCCGAGCTTGACGCATTTGAAGTTCACTCTGACATGTACAGCTCTAGAAGGCCTAACTCATTCCTCCCTTCCAACGACCCAGTCATTGCAGACACAACTAATTGAACGGTGCGCCCGGTTGAAACAAATCACTGTACAGCTGGAGCCCGAGGTCTTTCTACTCGAATGGACTGCTGCAGGGGGATCTGGCAGAAGTAGTGTATCTTGACTTTTGATTCTTCGTTTGAGCTACTCCATGAATTTGGGACAATACTATACTCAAATTGATATCTTCATACACGCATCAAACGCTCCCCACCATACACATCGCGAATTCAACGAACTGTAACTGTTTAGATCGCAGCACTGTATCCAACGAGAGTATACCGACTTAATTGACTGACTCTCGCTTTCTGCCCAGAAATCAGCTACCCCCGCAAGGTCACAGTGTCGGTCGCAAAAGGACGCAAAGGAAACTCCGCAGTGGGTCGAAAGGATTTAGTAATGGAAATGAGAAATTGTGGCAACAGGCACGAAAGCCATTACTAGTCGAGGCCGAATCGAGTTGAGCGTGCGGAGGTCGTCAGATGTGAGACCAATTCTAAAGGAAGCCTGTCATTTTACAGATAAGATAAGTAGCTCAAAAAGTCTCACTGAATACGACGCACCTTGAACCAGTGACAGCAGGTTCATCGCTTCTCCTTCCTTTTCATACTCAATCCCTTTCAGACGTAAGTATCTTCGGTTGCACGCTACGATCCCATTGGTATGACCTTCAACTTGAAGTTTACGTCGCCGAAGTACGAGCTGAGTCGTCCTTGTTCCTAGCATAGAAAGCGAGATAAGTAAAGGCGTGGTTTGTTCATTCCGAAAAGTTGGACATTCATACTATCCGAAGCGCCTGCCAGTGGCCAGTGGTGACTCGAAATGCTTTGGTTGGGTTGTAGGGTGCTGTGAAGAACTCTGGTTTGTAAACCAGTTATTAACTAGTTTTTAAAAACACGTTAGTTTTGAATTCATCCTGGCTTGTCAGTGTTTATAAACAGCCGTCAGATCATGCACAGCCACACGGCTTCTTTCCTTTTTTCCCTTGCTTCTTCTCCCATGTCGACACGTCGGAAGTCCGGAGGTCGGCCGGCCAATACTCGTCAGCCAGTCGTGACTCAGAAGCTCGGAGCATTGCACTACAGCAACGAGATTCGGAACCTCGCTGGCCTTCTCAAGGACCTTCCCCAATCCATCCCCCTCGGTAACACACACGACTTTTCATCACATACCCTTCGTCAAGCCGCGGTCCTTGAAACTGGATGCGAGAAGAGTGTTGTTCATCAAGACCTGGAGAGGTCGTTTGGGACTCGCGCAGGAGGCAAGCTCATCGAATTCAAGTCGCGCGGCCCTGGGCTTGAAGCCGTCACCGTCGTATTGCGCCAGTACATCACCGGGTCAGCGGGACAAAATGAGCTCCTTACCAAATGGGTGGACGACCTCACGGCGGCGGCAGAGCATGCAATCGAGAGTGCAGGGGAGCAGGTGAGTGTCATGCTGACTATGATTGGCCTGTAGCTAATCTTCCCCTGGTAGAAACGAAAGCGGAAGAGTACAGCAGCAAGACGGCTTATGGAGGAGGATGAAGATGAGCAACAGGTCGAGAAACGACAGCGTATTGACGACGAGAGGGATAAGCAGCAGAAAGAAGCAATTGCAGATGTAGCGGCAGCACTCACACGTCAAGGAGCAGTGCGTGCTTTTCTTTACATCTTATTCTAGCTGAGATTTTCTTCGCCAGGTTAATCATCCCTTTGAAGACCTGATCGACGTTGTTCCAGCAGCTCGCAACAATCGTGGACGTGCTGCGGACCCATTGCTCGAACAGTTGACGATCTACTGCGAAACCATCAAGGCAATAAACCCAAAGACCAACAAGCCCTTTCAACGCCATCGTTGCGCTGGCCCGGGCTGTCAGGAAAGCTGGGCAAATCCCCGACAAGGCTCTCGCATCCTGCCACATGCGTCAAACTGCCCATACTTGACACCTGCCGAGCGACGTGCTGCCCTTGTTGCCAATAGCAAGAAGGCGTTGTCCAACGAAATATCGAGCAGCGAGGACGAAGGGGATAACGAAAATGCAGGGACTCATGATCAGGGTGATGCGACAAAGACGAAGAATCCATACTTTGATCCCTTTCGTGGCCTGGGGGAGGAGGAGCGCAAAGGAGCAATTGTCAAGTTTCAAAACAAGGCGAACCTTTACCTGCTTGAGTTTATGGCCGTTACCGGACAAGCCATCCGCCATGTCGACGAGCAAACCTTCAAGAAGTTCGCGAAACATCTCAACCCATATGCCGGTATTTACTCGTCGACCACTATGACCGACTACATTCATCGCGAGGCCGCCACGATCACCACCAAAAATACAAAACGTCTTCGCACAATCAGCAACCTGACACTGTCTTACGATGGAAGCACTGTCTTTGGGCAGTCAATTTACACTGGGCATATTACGACGCCGAAGCTGCGTGAGCCATTTCTTATGCTGGCCGACGAGTCTTCTGGAGATTCACACACGGGTGAACATATCCAGAAAGTCAACAATTATCGCTCTTGCAGATGCGCCACACCATCTTTCAAACCTCATTAAGGATATATGCAAGCTCACGCATTTCGAAACGGTATATTTCTCCAACTATTTACTGACTTTCCGCCAACTGATATGCATTATGACAGGGTATCGAGTCGATGAGAACAGTCATCGGCTTCTTCTCAAGCTCTACCTATGCTGGTACCCACCTCAAGGCGCTGCGTGTCATCATGGACATCACGAAAGGACTCGAAACCGTCGGAAAAACACGGTTTGGGACCATGTACTGGTCGGGCTATGCACTTCTACGAAATTTACCAGCAATCCATGAGCTAGTTCGGCTTGGTATTGTACGCGCCGAAGGCTCTGAGGTATGTCATTCAATTGCTACGCTTAGAGTAGATGGCTCACCCACATGTCAGGAGCAGTCAAAGCTTGCATTCTTCAAAAAGGTCCCTCTCTATAATAGCTTCAAACTCAATCTAGAGCAGCTTGTCACTGTTCTCGAGCCTATCGCTCGCGCCATCAAGTGTCTCGAAGGCTTGACAACAACTCTCGGTGATGTCTGGAAGTTCTACGTGGCTATTACTCCCGTGCTTCGTGACACGTTTGCGGAAAACGCTCTAGGAATCCCTGATGATGTGATCGCGGAGATTCGTCGTCTTGTTAATACTCGTTTCCAGCAGCTGATTGGTGGTACTGACGCTTACTTGACGGGATTCTTTCTTGATCCGGGTCAGAAGCCCTTCTTCACGCGTCAACCAGTAGCTCATGCATTTGCCAGAATACATTGCAAGCAATATCCTCCGCCGCTCATCAGGCAATCTTCTCGTTGCTGCAGAATCAGCCGAGGGTGGCTCCGATGCACAGCCAGCGGAAACTGGTGATGCGGATCTGAGACGGAAGATGCCTGCCTACGAGGTTGTGGGGCGTTTCCTGGTGGAACGACTGAAGGCAGAGCTCAATGCCCGGCCAAATCTAAAAGGCTCAAAAGGGTTTTCCCACTATTCTGACCGTAAGGCAGTTATTGCGGCACTTCGGTCGCAACTCGAGGGGTTTACGCGTCAGCAAGCTCCCTTCAATCGGCCTAATCCTGCCTGGACACGTGCCTACCTTTATTGGCAGGCACTCCTCGATGAACCTGCCGCATTTGTGCTCGCCGTAAGTGTAGATTCATTCGATTTAACCTTAGAACTCACAAATGTTACTATAGCATATGGCACTCAAAATGTTCGCTATCATGCCTACCTCAATGCCCGAGGAACGAACGGTATCCGTCTTCACGAAGCTGTCGACTAAAGACCGAAATCGGCAAGATGCGGCCACGACTGTTGCCATTACCCAAGTGCGGCAACATGTTCGTCGACGGGATAGCGAGCGCAAGGCACCAGTTCAGCCTCGCCTCAATTGGCGGTCGATCAAAAGCGAGTTCTTCTCGAGAGAGCAGTCGCCCTCCCCATTGGCACCTTCGTCTGCTCCTTCAGAAGGATCGACATCAACGGAGCCAACTACAGCAATCAACCTCACTCTTGACTCTAATCTTACGCCTGGCACTGGTAGTGAGCCCGGAAACGATGCTGCTGCGGCTGGCCTTAATGCACTCAATGCGCGTACCCTGGCCACCGATCTTCTCGCTGACATAATTCCAAGTCTCGAGTCGACACGATTTGAGTCAGAGGACATCGCTGACCTCGGGGATGCACTGTTTCGTGACCTTTTGAGCGATGCTCCGCTTCTCAGTGCTGAGACGGTCACCAATCCGGGTGTGGTCGGCACTATGAAAGGCAAGGAGAAAGCTGTAGATGCAGTATTTGACGACGATATCAATGACGAGGTCTTTTAGTGTAGTCACATTTGAAATGCGTTTATAAACACCCGGTTTTTAAAAAACTGTTAGAAACATGTGTGAGTATATGCTGGGGATTTCTTCACAGCACCCTATTGGGTTGAGATGTTTCTGGCACTAGATCTGAGAACATTCTAGCTTTTATAGTCCTCATTTGAGTAAAGAAATACAATAAATGGTCGAACTTCTGAGTCCGAGTCCCTGGGTTGGCCCTAAGGCTCCAACCAAATATAATACAATACTCAATATATTGGGTTATAACCCAATACAATCCATATATATATACAGGGTGGCAAAAATTTTGTAGTATAGAGTATATACTGTATACTATTGAGTTTTCTCAGAGGCCTATATAGGCAGCATCTGTGGGTCATACAAGGTGTTATAAAATCAAATTCTCTCAGATGAGAAATTTTCTGAGTCTTTGTTACTATACTTTCTGGTACTATATTTGACATCTGAGTAAAAGTTCAGATGCTGCTTCAACCACAACTTCAAACTGACTCAGAAACAGACCCATCTAACAATCTTATTGTTATATTAAATTTTCGCTACATTACTGTTAATAGAAATTTATAGTACAGCCAAAGTAATAATATCTCATTTATCAGTCATAAGTCTAGGTTAAACTTCAAAATTGCCATATAAGGAAACCCGTGTCATTCCCTAGTAAAGAAGTTGCAGATAATTAGAACAATTGCAACTTCCGAATCGCTGAGTCACGGTCTTGGCAATGAAGAAATAGGTTTGGAAGCCACAATAAAAACCATGAGCTGCAGCACTTCAGCTTATTGTTCCAATACAGTGAGGATAATTGCGAGTCAAATGATTGTAATTTCTCAGACAATCACTCAATCAACCTTAGGGCGATCGAATGCACTCTTTTGTTCAGAAGAAAAGCTTTTGCAATTGTCAGCGTTCGCATCTGTGTGTGTGTGTGTGTGTGTGTGTGTGTGGTGTGCGTGTGCACACGTGTACGCACACGTGTAAGATGGATGTCAGTGGCAGTGGCGTGACTTGACAATCGTTTTTAACTTTTAACCAACATCCCTCATCTTCGAAGTTCACCCCCAACTGGTATTACGTTCGGAGCCGGAGACAACTCAGACTCTCAGAAACAATGCAACGCGTCACAACAGCCAAAGATGGCACTGGGAACCATCCGCGAATTCAAGCCGGTCCTTTCGTCTCCTTGTACTTGGAACTCCGCATTGGACTGGGGCACCGGACCTATGGGAGCTACGAGTCAATCACGCGCGTTAGCAAGAATCTAGCCTTCAAATCAGGGTCGGAGATTCGTTATACTGAGGCCCTCAACCTCGAATATATTGCCACAAGGACGACAATCCGGTCCCCCGCGTCCATGGTGTTTTCAAGAACCGCGATGGTCACCTCAGAATCCTCATGGAGTACATCGAGGGCAAGGAGCTGGAGCGGGTTTGGGGAACTATGACTTCTGAGGAGCAACGTGACGTCGTGGCGTCAGCTTCACGGGTACCTCAAACAACTCCATGCGCTCACACCCCCACATCCTGGTGCCGTAGAAGCCATAGATGGCACCGCTTGCAAGGACTTCCACATTCGCACCAACGCTGAGGGCTGTGGCCCTTTCGCGTCGGTCACAGACTTCCAGGAGTTCTTAGGCTATGACTGGCTGATGACTCGGAGCGAGGTGCGTGCGCGCTTTCCTCAACACGAGGAATCTCTGCGCATTTGCGAGCAGCGCGCGCGGACCCTATCGCACCGTGTTCACGCACTGTGACTTGGCCCCTGGAATATTCTTGTCAAGGGCTCCACAATTGTCGCTATAGTGGACTGGGAAATGGCCACCTGGATGCCTGAGTACTGGGAATACACGACTTGTGCCTTCGCAAACCCGCAACATGCCAACATTTTGGGATCTTATGAACGAAGAAGGGTTTCCAGAACAATATCCCGCAGAGTTTGGGGTTGAAAGATGTCTGTCTAGCATTGTTACCCGTTACTAGATTAAGTAAGTACTAGTCGTGTCCGCGTGTTATGCATGTAACGAGTCTGCCAGTGTTTACATATTGGCATTGTTTTGAATTTAAGTAGTACTTTCAAGGCATTGACACAATGTTGTCAGCAACTTGTTGGAGGTGGTCATTGGTCAATATGCCTTGAATTCAAATTCAGAATTTACAAAAGCTTAAAATTCGCAGGTATTAATAGATTGTATTGTGTCTGTCACAGGTAAGATGGATGACTAACATCACTCATTCTCGAGTCCATGGCCATCCAGTACCATCATTCGCTCAGAGCTGGAGGCGAATCAGCCTCTCGGAGGGAATGCGACTTGTCACACCGGCCAAAGACACTCAGGCTGGGAACCATCCAAGAATTTCAGCCGGTGACGGTCCTTTCGTCTCGTTGTACTTCGACCGCGGCACGTGCACACCGCCCCGTCAAGCTCTGTGCCAGACGCTGGTCAATGATTCCGGTGTCAACGCCGAGCGGTAGCCATACCCCTCGCGTGCACAGTGCCCTGCAGCCCATCACCGTGGTAGTGTAACATATAAGTTTTTCATTATTTATTCTTCTTTGCTGAAACACAGATGATTTTGCCATGCTGAACCTTGGAACTGAACCACATACACCTAACTGAGTGCTGAAAAAAAAAACCAATAGCAACTGACATTGAAAATGAAAAAATGACTGTACTGAGTGTGCTAAAGTCCAGGGTCAAAATATTTTTCCATAACATATTTTAGAATCAAACATCACTAACCATCAATTTCCTGGATCATGGCAAGGGTGGATCAAAATACCCTTACAGGAAAGATTCCTAATTGGGAATGGTAACCTGCAATTTCTTAGTAAGAAAAATTGTAAATAGAGAAAATGATTTTCTATCTGGATCAGGAAATTCTTTGAAGCTGTGACACATATAGCAGAAATGATAATTATTGCTAATTATTGCTGTGACCAGTTCTAAAAAAATAACTAAATAAAACCAAATAAGTACAATAAATAAATAGATCAATAGATAAAAATGGGTGTGGTCTACAACAGGCAGGAAAAACTTAGCTAACAACTCAATGTAACCTGAACATGCACTTTCTATAGTAGGGCTTGGTTTATATAGGGATGTTTATAAACCAGGGGTGTTTATAAACCGGTTTATAAACACCCCTGTTTTATTTGTTTATAAACAGGCATTCTGGGAAGAGGGTGTTTGTAAACAATGTGACACTAGTGTGACAGTTAGCCAAAGTGTGACATCTCTGCCATAAAATGTATTTTACACTATAAAATTTAGCTGAGATAGTAGATATTGAAGGGAAACTCCTGGGCCTCGCCTGGGGCCACTATTAGTAGTATTTCACCTTGACAAATATATCAAAATTATATTGCCCAAGGCACAGTTGGGCTGCTTAGCCTGAAGTGTTTATAAAACCTAAAAACCAGTTGATAAACAGGGTTTTGGGAAGATTTTTTTACAAACCGTTTGTTAAGGCCAAATTTTTTTATAAAACCAAGCCCTATTCTATAGTCTATTTACTAGCTAGAGTCTTGATATGCCCAGATATTCATTTCCTAAAAATACATAACTTATCATAACCATCAAGATATGTGGATTCAAGTAACTGAGTATAATACAGTAACATATGCTAATGCTTGGGACCAAAGGGCAATAATATTATCATCTCCAGGAAGGCCATGTCAGGGGAAACCCTGATGCCGTCACTTGACCCCATCAAGCGCCGCGTCACCGCACCCTGACAGTCTCCCTGTCACAGATAATACCCGGCCCGTCCGCTCCGGCGCTGGTGTTGGGCCACCGGCGGGCCCGTAGCACGCAGCACGTGACAACGGGGAACATGCACCCCAGTAGGAGGAAGGCACATGTGGGAAGCACGTGACCAAGAACGATGTGTCGAGCTGTCGCCGAGCCCAACTCAACACAAGGGGACTGGGGAGGAGTGCTAGGAGGTTAGGAGTATTGCCTGGCCCGCAAGGGATGTACGATCGTCCCCTCTGCGGCCAGGAATGGGGGCAAGGAGGAGCAGGAGAGGCCAGGGTGTCCGATCACCCCCTTTGTGGGCCCGCGTATATAAGGTGCGATAGTGTACCCTGTACTCTATCCGAGGAGCAGGAGAGGCCAGGGTGTCCGATCACCCCCTTTGCGGGCCCGCGTATATAAGGCGCGATAGTGTACCCTGTACTCTATCGCTTAGATCGTCTGAAGAACTACCTGTCAGGGGAACCCCTTTTCCAGCCCGCCGGACCCGCCCCGACTTCGGTTCCTTGGCCCGTCAGACTCGCCCCGACTCCGGTTCCAACTCTGGCCCCGACTCCGCCTTTATCAGGCGCATCGCCGCCCCCGCCTGGCGATCCCCCTGGGACCTGGCGGTGCGACATGGCGCAGGCATACTGCACGGAGCAACGATCGAATTTGGCGCGTCAAGAGCGCAGTATATAGTTCCGCTACCTAGCAGGCGGACCCTTAGAGTTTCTTCTCTTTGGATCCTCCCCTGCTAGGTCAGCTCCCTTTGTATTTGCTTACCTTTATTCACTCTTTGGATCCTGTAAGGGCAACCCTGGAGACTCCGACGAAAGCCTAGCAGGGGAGGATCCAAAGCGTGAATAAGAGCTACGGGACAATACATGGAGGGACCGACCTAGCAGGGGAGGATCCAAAGAGAAGAAACTCTAAGGGTCCGCCTGCTAGGGCGCCAACTATGTACTGGTCGTCTGTAACTGCCGACGTAGAGCACAGAAGGCCTGTGCGGTGTTGCAGGTCGTGTCCCAAGGTGATCGTTGGGAGGGTCTTGACGGATCGGTGATTGTGCGGGCGAAGGAGGCCGTGGACAATGGTCGGGGCAGGTCGGAGCGTCTGAAGGGGCGCCGGTCGGATGCGTTCGGAGGGTCCGAAGGAGGCCGAAGCGGGGGTTCCCCTGATATCACCCCCCCCCTTTGAATGCGGCGTCCCGACGCATAGCTCTGAAGGGCAAGGAGTCGAAGGTCACTGAGGC